TATTTTTGAAAGTAAAAGGGTGCTAAATATAATTAAAACTAAATAAATTTGGGAGAGGTAATGATTTAATTGTAATGATTTCAAAAATGTTAATGACCTAAAACCAATTAAACCATCAAAGTTTTGGGGGTAATTGCTTCCCCCGCCTCCCATGTAGTTCCGTCCCAGATGGTGAAGAAACTGAGAATTGGTATTAAGAGAAATTAAATAGATATATATTAAATATTATTTTTTAGAATTAAGATTAAGATTAAAATAATTTTAATTTTATTAATTATCATATTATCCATTGCATTTTTTTTTATTAATTTATCATTTTTCTAACTCAATAAAAAAAACTTCTGTAATGAAAAAATATTTACATATTTTACTTTATAAAAAATATTTTAAAAGATAAAAATATTTGGAAGAATTATCATACGAAAATAATAAGAATACGAATCCATCATCCTCACAGGAGTCGGCGTCTATCTTTTTCTTTTAAGCAACAACGTTTAGACAACAATGGAACTACCTAAATAATGTGTAGCATAGAGGAAAGAGGATAAGGAAAACCTGAAAATGCCCCCTAAAGTCCACTGAATTAAAAAGATTTCACCTTGTTCAAAGGTTTCCCCTTGCTCTCTCTTTATCTGTCCTTTTCTTGAGTGTTTCTGCCTCTGTCACCCACTAATTCCTTGTTTTCTGTTCTAATTCCAAGAATTTCTCTTGGGTTTCTGTTAGTTTTTTTCCCCTTCCATTTTCTCCTACTCGACCCCCCTTCCTCTGTAGATTTCTTAGCTGGACATGTAAAGATACCTACAACTAAAACCATCATTTTTAGCTGCTTTAATTGTGATGTATCAAATTAGCATCTGAGCTTCTCGTTTTGTTGCTTGAGAGTATTTTAGGCTGCTTTGATTTACCTTTATTTGGTATTTTCAAGCTGTGATAGTTCGTCTGTTGCTAGAATTTCACTTGTGAATTAAATTTATGTTTTTTAAATCTTAGGTTTCAATCTAGGATCTGAGTCTTTTTTTTCCTACTAATTTGCCTTCGTTCAACGTAGTTTTTTTTTTTTGGATTCACTTTAATTAGCATAGGATTTTCTGTGTTTTTCTGATTAGAAACTATCTTATCTGATTGCTATTGCTTGTACTTGATCATGTCTGAAGTATTAGATCAGTTTTCCAAGTATATTTCAGCAATAAAACTGTTCGTTCTAAAGATTTTTAGCTGCAAAACTTGGCGAGTCATACGTTGTTTTGACTTTTGAGTTCTCTCGAGTTTTATAAGCTGAGTTAACATGATTCATTCAACTGCAGACATAGATGGGTGTATATCTCAGCACTCCCAAAACTGAAAAACTTACAGAAGACGGTGAGAATGATAGGGTTAGATATGGTCTAGCATCCATGCAAGGATGGCGTGCAACTATGGAAGATGCCGTGAGTACAAATGACACCTTTAATTTTCAAATGTCCGAAGCATTTGGACCCTATTTATTCTATTAGATTGTGGCGATGCTGGGGTGGAATTTTAAGTTTCTATCACTGAGTTCTTAAGAGAAAGTTCTATGATCATGTTGTCGTATCTCTTCCTTACGTTACGCTTATAGCCTTATACATATTGTAGCTTATATCATATATTTTATTTCTTGCAAGTTTCTGATTCTTGTTATATCATGTATACATTGTAGACTTGCAGTTACTTTTAATTATTTTTTTGTTTTGTAGCATGCTGCATATCCTGATGTCGATTCTTCTACTTCATTCTTTGGTGTTTATGACGGTCACGGAGGTAAGACTTGGATGGTTCAGGTACTTCGTATTTATTCTTTTTCCCTTTTAGAACTTGAAATGTTTTACCTTTTAAATGATTCTGTCAAGGCATTTAGGTTTTGTGTTGGTGAATGCTTAATAAACTTTAACTTCTTCTCTTTAAAGGGTTCTTATAATTGCTCTTTTTTACTGCACTTAATTTTGACCCTAATATGATTGTCTTACTAATGGCTACTGTTCAAATTTCTTCAACTTATCCAAGTTTATAACTTGTAGGTAAAGTGGTTGCCAAGTTCTGTGCCAAATATCTTCATCAGCAGGTTATCAAGAATGAAGCGTTTGCTGCTGGGGACATAGGGACATCGGTTCAGAGAGCATTTTTAAGGTTATTTCATTAACCGAGCTCATGTTTGCTGTTCACAATGTTTTCCTTATCATGGGAATCAACAATATTTGGGGATTTGGTGTTTAGTACATGCTAGTAACTATGTATAACAGTTGAGTCAATTTACTTTTCAAGCTACTAAAACTGTAATAATAAGCATAGAGATAGTATTTCAACATGAAAGCGTGTGCACATAATGTTTATAGAACTTAAGCTTGTGAAATTCATAGCGACATATTAGCAGACCTTACACACTTCAAGTATCAAGAGGAAACATATCTTTTCTGATATAATCTTGATATGCTATTTCTTAAAACATTGTATTCAAATTGTATCATCAATAGTATAGATCTTGTGATTTTGACCTTTATAATTTCTACCTAATTAGATTAAGATTTCGTAATGTTCTTCTATCTTGTAGAGCCTTCCATCAGAGCTAAAAATGCTTTTCCATGCTTTCCCATCTTGCTCAACCTTCCTTTTCATGTTTGGCTGCCCTTCTTATTGTTCATTTCATGTGTTTCCAACTTGAGTTACTTTTGGCGCAGAATGGATGAGATGATGCGTGGACAAGAGGATGGAGAGAATTAGCCATTTTGGGTGATAAATTCAACAAGTTTACTGGCATGATAGAAGGATTGATATGGTCTCCTAGGAGTAACAGTAGTGACCAAGTTGATAATTGGGCTTTTGAGGAGGTACTTACGAAAATATACCCATGTTATTGCCCTTAACTAGATGTTGAAGCAAATTTTGGTGTTGGCCACAAACTATGATGGAAACCAAGATTGAGGAGGAAGAATAGAATTTGATGCGTATGTTAATTCTTAGCTTATGCAGTGTATCAATGCAGCCAGGATGGCGGAAAATATACCGCTGTATTGAAACTTAACATCTTAGGCTGCACTTACTTTTTGGTTGGGACAGGGATCTAATTGTGCAATGGGTTTGTCTGTGATTGCATAAATTTAGCATTCATCCATTACTTCCTGCTTTAATGTTTTCTTATTGCAACGATTTGTAAATATAATTTATAAGTGTTTCTTTATATTTTATCAGGGCCCTCACTCTGACTTTTCTGGACCAACATCGGGGTGCACAGCCTGTGTTGCGGTTCTGAAAAACAAGCAGCTTGTTGTTGCAAATGCTGGTGATTCTCGTTGTGTAATATCTAGAAATGGGTCAGGTAATGTTTTTTAATCAGATGTAATTAGCTAGTTTCATTTGAATGGATACTGAAACAGAGATTATATGTAGATGAGCTGGGTATTGTACTTTGGGAATATTTATTACTTCTGAGTAAATAATCTTATTTTTGTTCTTATCTTGCTTCTTTCTTTCTTAGGCATACAATCTCTAGAGATCACAACCTGATCTTGAGGTAGAGAAAGAAAGGATTTTAAAGGCTGGTGGTTTATACATGGAGGACGTGTCAATGGCTGTTTGAATCTTGCAAGAGCTATAGGTAATTTACTTGCCTGCTTGATATCTAGAAACAGGAGTTCTGATTCTACTCGCGAAGATAGAGACATATACAACTTGGCAGAAAGTGCTTTTCTTTTCCTAAACGAATTGTAACATTTTTCTACATCCATAGTCTCCAATCAAGTGTATGCAGCCATGCATATCTAGTATTTTTATTCATCATTGGGAGAGGGAGAGATGTAGTTTAATCTGTCAACTTATTTTCCTGCAGGTGACATTGAGTTCAAGCAGAATAAGTTTTTACCCGCTGAAAAGCAAATTGTAACTGCAAATCCTGATGTAAACACTGTAAGTGCCGCATCACTGTAGCATTAACCATTCCATCTTGGCTTTGATATTCAAGTATCAATCCTAAAAATCTTGGGAGCTTGTCCTATCTAACTTTCTACATCATATAAATTCAATTAGGTTGAGCTTTGTGATGACGATGACTTCCTTGTGCTGGCATGTGATGGAATTTGGTATATATTATCTATTGCCTTTGTCCTGTTAGATAATATTAGAATTCTCACTTAGAAACTTTATTTAGCTGATTAGTTATATATGTACACTTGACTCCGACTCCATATCAGTCTTGAATTTAGTATCTAATTCCATCTTGATTTCGATTTTACTTTTCAGGGATTGCATATCAAGTCAGAAGCTAGTAGATTTTGTCCACGAACAACTACATTCCGTATGTACTTGTGCCTTTCTTTACTTTGATTAGTCTGTATGTTTGAATGCAAGCAAATTTGCTATAGGTCAATTGAATTCAAGGTCATTCTATGCCTTCTCTTTTAATGATTGTACGCTCAGTATGAACTCTAGCATACAATGCAGGAAAGCAAGCTTTCTACTGTTTGTGAGAGAGTACTTGACAAATGCTTAGCACCATCGACAGCCACTGGTGAGGGTTGCGATAATATGACCATGGTCCTGGTGCAGTTCAAGAAACCTATCAAATCTGCCTCATCTTCGGAGGAGCAATCCTCCAATTCCAAATCAATCAATCCTGAATCGAAGCAAGGAATTCAGGAATAGTAGCTGCGACTGTTGTTGGGATCTAAGAACCTGTTTGTTTTCTTAAATATTCTGGTATGCTATGTAGATGGCTTAGTGCAGGAACTGAATTGATGACACAGTAAGAAAGAATGTGTGCCCTTTTTGTTTCTTGTTTTGAATCATTATATGGGGATATTTTTATTTCTGAAAATAACACAATGTGACAATTTCAGTAATAAGATGTAGAGTTGGTAACATATTTCTTACAGGTTACCATAAACTAGAGTATTGACACTCATATTCTGGGACATTCAAGGTTTTGCCAGTTAAAAACAACAGACCACAAAACATTGTCAAAACTAGGAACAGAAAGATTTTACTTATTCGATTAATGAGCGATCAATGAATTCATATGTATGCTTAAACTGAGCAAACTTTCCCTGATTTACAATTAATTCTAAAGAAAAGAAGTATAAGGCAGTGATAATAATAATAATCTGTAGCAATGCCCACTCAAATGTTCTTGAGGGAGACATTTAACTCTTGCTCCCACCTTTGTTTTAACTGCTAAACTGTGTGAAAAAATAACTTTACTGTCCATTTGATTCAGACTTTCAAAGCCACTGGATCTTGCCATGTTATTTTCTTCTTCCCAACTCTTTTGCCATTACTCAAACAGTTTTTCGGCTTCTTCTCCTTTCTCAACTGGGCCTGAACATTTCCTTGATTTCGCCCAATTCCTTCTTCATGAAAACCTGCAATGCAAAAAATAGTCATGTATTCCCAATATGACGGCCGATGATACTAATAGCACAACAACAAATGCTCAAAAATTCATGTTGATTACTACATTCAGATCGATATCAGGAAGAGAACATGGTCTTCTTTTACCGGCTCCATTGATAGCCAAACTCTTAGGCTTAGCCAATTTGCTTTGCAGGTTGGGATTTTGTGATTGAACAGAATCTTGCTGATATTCATACTCTTGAGACTTGATCATCAATAAATAGCTGTACCTCCGCCGCAAAAAATCTAGAATTCCAAAGAGAAGCATGATGATTTTCGTCGGCTATCATGTATTCTTCTCTATATCAATATCTAAAGCATGAAGAAAACAAAACCATAATATATCTCATACCTAACTTCGGCCAAGAGGGCGTCTCGCTTCTGGTTCATCACCGGAAGTTTTTTCTTCTTGGAAACAAATTCCTGGCAGTGATTGACAAGAAAGAATTAACTGCTAACTCAAGTACACAAAAAAAAGTAGATTCATAATAGCTGGACATTCAACATTTGAAAAATGTAGAGGGAATCAATTTCTATCAACTCATAGACTAAGAAAACTAGTGAAATTTAGGCAGAAACAAACTCAAAATCAATCTCTTGCAGGCTACACAGCATCAAAAACAAGAATATAAAGAACCTGAATTGATGATAAAAAGAAGAGTTCAATGATCAAAAAACGCATAAACAGAGTAATTGAGGCAAAGGACTAACCTTTTGCAAATCCAAGAATTCCTGGAGTAGGGTTTGATGCTTCAATCTAGCTCTAGTTTTTTCATCAACCAGAGAAACCCTTTTCATCTTAATTATTACAATTGAAACCCAAAAAACAAAGACTTCACAACAAGACTCGGAAGGCCTTAAAAGAACAACCTTGTGCCCTAGAATTTATAACCCAGGAAGCAGTATCCCATTCCGATAAGGAGAAATAGAAAATTAAAAAAAAAAACTCAAAACTTGGAGAGAAAGCAAGACCCCACAAAATTCAGAATTGAATAGGATAAGGATTCTATCGAAAGAGAAAATGGAAATACAAAAAAAAAGGGGTAAATAATAAGGGAAGACGGGGGGAGAAAAATAGAAACTTGTGGTGTGCTTTGAAGAACATGGTTGTGAGAACCCGAAAAAGCCCATGAAGAACATGGGAAGGGTTTGAGTTGAAGGAGTGACGGAAGAAGGGATACAGAGAAGGGTAAATGTGGGAATAGAAAAGTTCATATTTTGGGAATACAGAACGAGCTCTGTGGTTGGAGGACAATTGAAGACATCTATTCACCTATCCATCTCTCCTTCTCTATCTGTCTTAGCTTTCCATGGTTTTTATTTTCATAATAAAATAAAAATAATTTTGATTTGGAAATTTGGGGTTTGTGAGATGCACTTGTGCAGTGAGCGAAGGACATGGTAAAGCTTGCTGGGCCATTTTAAGACAGAGAAAGGACGGATATTTGGACATGGGAGGGGAGGCTGGTCAGCAAATAAGGCAGAAACATAAATGGCTAATGTTTTTGCTTCCTGGGACTCAGGTTGCTTTGCTTGCATACAAAGTACAAACAACGCTTGGTTGGGCTAACTAACGGATGGGCAACACGACATCATATAAATATATAAATATTACTCTATTTCTTTTCTTGCTTGTCCTATGGATTTGACTTTGCATAACATGTGTCCCAACACCTTGACATGAACCAAACGAAGTAGGTTATTTAAGTTTTACTTTTACTTTCCCTCGCTATTCAGTTACCAAAGCCACAAAATATTACTCTATTAATAGTGTCTCATTCATATTTCATTCATATTGGACTTTAGAATATAATTTAATTAAACATTCAAATAAATTTCAAACACCTTCACATGAATCTTCACTAAATCTTTATCAATTTATTATTATTATTATTATTATTATTATTATTATTATTATATTAATGAATTTTTAGGAGGAAAAACTCTCCTTTTACCTTTTGTATAACATTAACAACCATTCTTTGCAAGTAAACGAGGGACAAAATCTTTGGTGGTTGAAAGGGTTCTTCACTTCTTTTACAACTCTAAGATAAGAAAAGATAACAAGATATCGATTTATCCATTTTAGAAACTGCCACGTATTCTGTAGAATCTCTTCACGAGACCTGTTAGATCTAAGGATGGTCAAAATACCCGAATTCGACGAGTCTCGATCCGATCCAATCTTACAAAGATAGAGTTTTTTGAAATTTTGGGGTTCAAAGTGGGGCGGAACGGGTTATATAGTGTATAAGTTCGAGGCGGGTCGGTGAAAAGTACCACTACAACAAATTTATCAATTTATGACAAAATTTCTATATGACGTTACATATATCGTCATAAAACATACTCTAATATGACTTTTTTATTTTCGTCTTATTTATTGATTAATGGTATATCTTTTATGATAATTTTAAAAATAGTCATTGATTTTTGTCACTATAAGTTTGGCGTCAAAATCTTCCAACCAAATTCTTTGGTGGGAAACCTTTTAATGACATTTAGATAAAATAATGATGTTATAAAATCTTCTCCAATGAAAAACATGTATTAGTGACGATTTATTATAATGACGATTGAATTTGAATTAGTGGCGTTGCACATTTGTCACTAATAAATTTTATTCGTGACAATTTAATTTGTCATATTTTATAAGACATTAAATGTGACATTTTATTATTGTCAAAAAAATAGTTTTAGCATGACGAAATCAATTTTGTAATTTGTTTTTATCTCTCTTTTTTATATGACGGTTTTAAAAGACGTCATGAAATTATGTCAGTTAATGTTAAAAAATAAGATAATCTAACAACCTTATTAAATAATGCAATTATCCATACCCATTTCAGCAAAATAATCATAAGATGGAGTGACCAAGTGAGTGTAGGGTGAGCCTTGTAATCTTCCTACACCCATTTTGTATTTATCATTCTTTAATATCGGTTTAGTCCGGCTGAGAGATAATTTAACATTCCCCTCTAAACGATCCAGTTGTCCATACATTCCAAGTTTCCAACAGCTAGCTCTTGTATTTGGTTTATCATTCTTTAATGTTGGTTTATCATTGGATTTTTAAAGTTTTCTATTTGGTTAAACTATATTATATATATGTCAATTTAGCTTAGAAAACATTTTAAAAATAATTAAAAATGATTTCTCATAATTATAATTATTTTTATTATGCTTTAAGGTAAGTTGTGCAAAATTTAAAAAAATTTACGATCGAGACACCCGCATTAAACGCGATGGCATCTGTTATGTCCGCAACTGCGAAAACGCGACGCGATCGAAAACGTGACCGCGAACGATATTTGATACCCTGGTTTCTTCTACTAAGATCATGCATCTTCATTGTTCTTTGAAGACACTTCGCAAGAGGGATCAGAGTATGAAAGGAATATTGTAACATCCGCAATACCGGGTTAGTGATTAAATTGAAAAGTTTCAGAATTTGGTGATCAATTTAGGTAAAATTGAAAAGTTTAGGGATTTAAAGTGTAATATTTTGATAGTGGATTAAATGGTAATTATGGAAGAATTGAAAGGGTGTTATGGTATTTTTTATGTAAAAGATAATTATCTCTTATTTAAAGAGATAAGCTGATGGGTGAGGAAGTATCTGGAAAGCTACTTTCTTCTTCCTTCTTCTTCCCGTTGGTTACTTCATAAAGGTGAGTTAATTTCAGCTTCTTAATTCTTGAATTTATAAATTAGTTTTGATTCTTTGGGTATTAAATAAGCTTAAGGAAAGCTTATTTGGGATTTAAACAATAAGATAAAGGAATTAAGAAGGAATTTGTAATATGAGTTTTAAGATGAAATTTTGATATGGTATGGTTGTTGAAGTTTTATGGATGAATTTGACTTGTCATCAATCTAATTAAGAGATTTGGAGTGATAGAATTGGAATTAGAACACATTGAAAATTTGGTATGATTCTTGAATCTCATATGGAAGATAGGATTTTGAGGTTTAAGATGAAATAAATGAATATAGATTGGTTTAAGTATGTGTACTAGAGTTAAGAATGAAAAGGGGATGATATATGAAGTGTTTGAGAGAAAATGAAGTAATTTTCGGGCTAAAATATGATTTCTGGGCAAGGGGAATCGGTACCCATTCAAGGGGAACCGATACCCCTTCAAACGAACAACATTTCCAGAATGCCAGAGGGGAACCGATACCCCACAGGAGGGAACCGATTCCCCCTAAAGGAAAATGCGAATATTGGTTTAATAAGTTCGTTTAAGTTGCTAGTATCCAATTACAAGGTGTAGGTATCTAATGATTGCCTCAAAATGTACATGTATGTAGATTCTACGCATAAAGCAATTCCGAAATGTTTGGCAAGTAAGATCGATCAAGGAAGATAACAGATCGATATTGACTAGTGAGGCCAGGTGAGTGCATTTTAGTTTATAGGATTATAAGGAATTGGACTTGTGATAAGTCTATTTTCAATATTTGTTGTGTATGGATTATTGATTATAATGATGTGAATGACAGAAAAGGTATGTATACTTGATTATATGAAATGATATGTGCTTAGATGTGCTATGTGATTTATGTGATATGCCATATGGGAAATTAGAGTGTGAACTTTAGGAAGGGATTATATGATGTATATATGAACATATGTGAACAAAATAAGACATGCATGTTTACATGAATACATGAGAAATAATATAGGTAATATGATATGAATCTATGTGACTACGTGAGAAATAATATATGTCTATGAGAAGACATAAGAACAAAGTATAAGCTATGTGATATATGAATATGAATTCATATGAAAAGTGACATGTATTACATGAAAGTAAACTACGCGATTATATGCACATGTGAATGTGAATCACATGGAAATGTTCTACGTGTAAGTGAATTATGTAAAATAGCAATGATTTATATGATAACAAGAGAAAGGATATAAATTACATGAGTCATATGGTAAAGACTTATGAATCTATAGGAAAATGTTATGGGAACTATGTGATGATAAGTTATGAGAAAATATTTTATAGGTAACAAGCTATGTGAAATGGAATTAAGTAATATATGAAACTAGAATATAATGAATGTGAAATAAGTGATTAGGTAAAACTGTGAGAAGTTATAGGGCATTGTTATTCGAAGTATATGAAAGTATGTATATGGATAACTGTATAAGTTTATAGGTTATACTATGTGCTATGTGATATACTTAGTGTATGAGAATCATATGAGAATAAGAGATGACAATGAGTTACATGCCAGATGAACACAAGAGAAGTGTTATAAGCTACGTGATAGATGATTATGAAATCATACGAAAAGTGAAATGTACATGTGAATATGTGAAGTGATATGAATATAATGCCCATGTTATATGATACGAGAGCTATAGGTATAGTTGGCATGCCAAGAGTCGAGGGTTTACCTATGTCTTTCGAGACATATGGACAGTTTACCGAGGATCTTTATGACCTCTGGACAGTTTACCGAGGATCTTTATGACCTCTGGACAGTTACCGAGGATCTTTATGACCTCTGGACAGTTACCGAGGATCTTTATGACCTCTGGACAGTTACCGGGGTCTTGGTGACCTCTGGATAGGTCCTTCGGGACATTTATATGAGCTGTGGTGACAGCATAGTGGTGCACAACCTCAATAGACTCACATATCTACAGTTCTCACAGGTGCACATGGGCTAATAAGAGATAACATTGAATGTAATGTATAAGATATATGTGAAGTATATACTTATGGTGATATGTCATGTGTTGCTTGAATTATAATGATGTTGATAAAGATAATAATATACATGGGCAATGCAATTGGAAGACAAACGAAAAGTGAAAGTAATACAAGAAGATATGTTGCGTGTGTGTATGATATGATTATATATATTGTTATCGTGCAATAGATACATGCATATTGAAATGTCATGATTCAATGGTATGAATGCACGTTCATGAATTATTATTATATGTTTAATTATTGCCTCACTAAGTCAACGACTTAGCGTGTGATTGTTTCACACGTAGGTTTCGAGAAGAATAAAGAGTAATGTGGAGCAAGACAGGTCAGTTCTCCTTCCCAAATGTCAGATCAGAAAATATATGTATTGTTTACAGAGTGTAGTTGGCATGTAGTCTAAATATATAAATGGTATGAACTCTGATATCTGTGGTAAACGTTTTGAAATAATTTAAATGTTATCAAAGTTTTTAAATTACTCACTATTTTATACGAATAAATGTTTGAAAAGTCAATGTGACACTTCGGACTCGTATCCGGGTCGGATACGGGTTGGGGGTGTTACAAATATCTTGCTCAAATTCAATCTATTTGTGATAGTCTTGTTGCTTCTGGTAATCCTCTAACAGAGACCATGAATATTTCTACTATACTTTATGGGTTTGCCACCGGAGTATGAATCGGTGGTGGTTGTTATCACCTCAAGCCAACAGTCGTACAAGATTGATGGTGTTTATAATGTGTTCCTTGATACTGAGGCGAGACATCTCGAGTTTTTGAGCCAAAGTGCTTTGGCTAATTTGGTTCAGAATTCAGCTCGTAGTGAGCTGATATTTTTTGGCCCAACTAATGCTTCAATGAGTCAAGATTTTTAAGGGGTTACCCTAACTATGCTTCTGCGATGTACAACGGTGCTGATTTTGCTTCCGCAATGTCAAACGACGCATATGATGTTCTTGGAGGTCACGGTGGTAGTGTTTATGGGGTTTCGTCTAGTGGAAATCCGACGTTCTCTCAGAAACCTTTTCAGGATCATCAAAGGCTTCAGGGGCACGGTTTTAGGCAACAAGGAACGTTTCAAGGTAGTTGGGCTGTCTTTCGTGGACGTGGAGGCCGTGGTTATAGTCGACCTCGGGTCCAATGTTAGATTTGCGGCAAGATTGGTCATCTTGCGAGCCAGAGTTATTTTTGATTTGATCAATCGTTTGATGGTTTTGCTGTGTCAAATATTTCTTTGAATTTTTGTTCTGTTGCTGATGAGTTTAATGATGAATCTCACAATGATGAGTTTGTTCCTTGTGCGAACTCCGATTATCATGATGTTAACGTTGTGACAATTGTAGATGGAGTTTTTGGTGTCTTTGGTTATGGGGATACTGCCTGGTATCCGGATTCTAGAGCGACTACCCATCTTACTCCTGATGCTGGTAACTTTCTTTGTTCTATTCCTTATCTTGGGGCAGGTAAGGTTTCTGTGGCTAATGGTATGGTTGTTCCCATCTCCAAGATTGGGAAAGCAGTTTGAATTCTCAGTCTAGATCGTTGGTTTTAAATAATCTATTACATGTTATACTATTAAAAAGAATTTATTGTCTGTTTCAAAATTGAAGGATTTGGAAACTCGACGGGTCATTCTTCACGGTTTGGAAAGTGAGGGCTTGTATGAGTTGTCCTCTGCTGGTTGTGTAGATAAGCTTGTTGGTTCTAGGGATGGTGAGATTGCTTCTGGTTGTGTTGTTGTTGACTCTAATAGTGTTATGCTTACTAAGTTCTGTAGATTCTTTGCATACTTCTAGTGATGTTAGGTATCCTACTGATATTTTAATTCAAGATTCATGTGCTATTGTTGGTGTTACTGTTGAGTTATGGCATAAGAGACTAAGGCATCCTTCTGTTCGTGTTTTAGAGAAGTGATTGAAACAATGTAATATCTTTGTTGATAATAAATTTTTGTTGTGATGCTTGCAAGTTAGGCAAGAGTCACAAACTTCTGTTTCAAAAATCTCTCTTTGTGATCAACCTTCACAACTTGTGCAAATGGATTTGTAAGGACCTGCTCCTTTAATGTCTAACAATGCTAGCTATTATATTAGCTTTGTAGATGCATGTACTAGGTTTACTTGGATATATTTTTTAGCTCGAAAGTCTGATGCTCGTAATGTTGTTATTTCTTTTCATGCGATGGTTGAACGACAGTTTAATTGTAAATTTAAAATAGTGCAAACAGATTTTGGGACTGAATTTAAAACGTTAGATGCTTATTTTAATCATCATGATATTATTTTTCAACATTCTTGCCCACATACTTCGAAACAAAACGATATTGGTGACATTATATATGGTGATAATTTTTAGTTTTGCCACTATAATGGTGACATTATATATGGTGACGTTATGCATAATCATCATTCATAATATTATTAGGTAACGGTATATTATGTCACTAAAAATGTGACAATATCTCTTTCGTCACATATAAGTTGATTTTAATACATTATTTTTGACAATATAAATTATCAATAACGAAATCTTATTTAATTTAGTGACGTAACCAACTGTCATAGAATATAAACTATAAAGTGACGTTATGCATAAACGTCATTCATAATATTATTAGGTAACATTTATATTATGCCACTAAAAATTTGACAATATCTCTTTCGTCACATATAGGTTGATTTTAATGTATTATCCGTGACGATATAAATCATCAATAACGAAATTTTACATAATTTAGTGACATAATTAGTTGTCATTGAATATTAATTATATAGTGACATTATATATAAATGCCATCCATGCAACTATTAGGTGATGAAATACTACGTTACTAACAATGTGACAATTTTATAATTTGGAGGTCTCCCACGGAAGCTGTTCTCAACCTGGTGTTGGGGGCAGCCTACTATCTTCCTTCCCTCCCCCTTACCCCATTACATATGAGAATAAACGTCAGCTAATTTTATTTTTAACAATGTGACAATTTTCTTTCCGTCACGTATACAATGAAATTATTGTGTTATTGGTGACAATATGATTTATTAATGACGAAAATGTACACCATTTGGTGACAAAAGTAATTGTCACTGAATGCAAATTAAACTGTGACGTTATCCATTAGCGTCACTATATATTTAATAATAGATGACGATAACATATACATCGTCACTTTTGACATTTAGTGACAAACTTAGGTTGATGATCGTCGTGACATTGACTTTTACGTCACAAAATACATCTAGTGACATAAATTGAAGTTTTAGTGACAATAATCTAGATACCACTAATAAGAAAATTTGTTGTAGTGTCCGTAGTTAGCTATGTGCATGCCCACATTGGTACCGATGTTCTTGTTTGTGATTATTTCTATACAACAGCCGAAGTTAGCTTCGAGACATATAGCCATGTCATTGTTTCACAGCTTCAATAAATCTTCAATGAAAATTGGAACTCACCCTATGCAGTTCCAGTCGAGGAGACGGACAACGATCATGCTTATTCTAATTAATACTCATTGGAGCAACCTAGTTCGAAACTGTGAAATCAGTGGCTTGTACACAGATTCCATTTGTTGTATTTTATCCCAAAAAAATTTAAAAGCATAATTAAATATATTACTCATTTTTTATAAATATTTTATTTTTCTTTTTGATTTCTTCGCATTTTCACCATGAATAAACCATATTCTATAGTTGAACTAAAAGATTTAAAATATGAAAAGTCAACTCAGTTTCCAACTTTCCATGATACAAACTTATTAATCACGAAGCAGGTTTGTGACACATCGATGACTTATTCAGAAGAAAATATCGAGAATGGATATGACGAAGGTTTCAGTCAAGGCGATGGAGGAGGTATTCGATTTCAACTTCCTTTGTTAGCGGAATCACCCAATCTCCATAGAGACCAGAAAGAACAACTGGATCAACCTTGTACTTTCCCTTGTCTTCATCCTCACCAAGTTTCACTTCCTGACCAAATGTCATCGCCTTTTTCGCCACCCTCTTCTTTACTGCTTCTTCGACATCCGCAAACGTCAATAAAGATACCAGAGTATCTCTATCCTGAAATAACAACATCCAAATTACACAATGTTCATTGTCAATAACACAATACTAACTTCACAGTTTATATGCATAATAGGAGCACCATGAAACTAAAATACCGAGCACGAATTGGCGGTTCGTAATCTTTCTGTTCGTCTCTGAATTTAACTTCAGCTACAAGTTTTCCATAGTGAATCCTTCTAGAGAGGGCCTAAAGGATTAGCCATGTACTTTAGAAACATCTTTCTAACTTCATATCATACCGTAGATACAATAAGAATGGGTTCACAAAGGTATCGTTAAATACCTGCAAACACTCGAGATCACGAGCAGCTGTCGAAGCATAGTTCCCGTCATCACCCGGAGCAACAAACAATGGAAGCAGTTTGTTGAAATAAATGTCCCATATGGCCTTATTTATGTTAATTGACATTGCTGCAGGATTTAAAACCTGTCGTGTTTAAGTTATTAGTTCATAATATAATTGAATCGGTTTCCAATTCTTGGAAAATCGAGAAGAGAAACACATATAGTTTAGCCAGTTTAAAGGACTAAATTATACCTCAGGGAACTTATAATGTGGCACCAGTGAAGGTGGTAGATTATCTGGGAAGAATGGATGTTCTTCGGGATTCTCAAATCTTCCAACCTGCAACACATTCAAACTTAGTTTGCATGCCACTTAATGTCAAAGTACATGAATCAATTGCAAAAAGGCAATTTACTATTACATTTAATGACTAAGTTAAGGTTCAATTAAAATACTATAAAGTTAGGGAACTAATTTAGAATCCGAATTATAATTTGGGGATGTATAATGCATTTAACCCAAAAAATGAAATTAAAGACCAAACTGACATAGTGAGATAAGAAAGAGAGGGGTACCTTAGCTTGGACGGCTTCTGTTTGTTTAACGAAGAGCTCAACCAAAGAGCCGCTAAACCCAGGAATCGAACCGTAGGAAGGATCGTAGGCCGGAGAATTTAAAGGGAACCTAGCTCGCTCTATCAGACTGAAAACAATGGTGTCCTCTTGTCTTATCAACGAATCTCTCACCATCTGTAGCGTCAACCCATCGCCAACGTTATTGGACTCTGCATTCACCGCCATTTTGTAAACTGGAGTAGCTGTCAGAAAGACAAGAGTTATAATCATCATTACCATAGACATATCCATGTCTGGTCAAAGACCAAAACAACAAGAAGAAGAACCAAGGTGGAGATTCAAGATCTGGTGATTAGAATGAGTGCATTTATGATTATATAAAAAAACAAGTAAACAAAAGTGGAAAGTGTTTGAGATTTTGAAAGTAATTACGTTGACAAATGGGAAGAGCGGCGACTTTCTTGGTCTGAATTATATGTCAAATTTATGACAATTCACAGAACAATGCTAACGCCGGTCGGGGAACCAAAGTAAAGAAGGTTTGAATAAAAGTATTAATACAATAAAAGAACAAAGGCATAAAAGGTAGGCGGTGCGTAGTGTGCACGAGAGAGCTGCTTTTCTTTGCGTTCAGACTACAATAATGATAAAAGCAAAACCATACATAATTCAGAAGCCATCTCCTTCGCCCCTTCCTCTTCGGCTTTATGTGGACGTATATAGGATCCTTGGTGAGCTTAAAGGTGAGCCATTGATAGCTATCGCCATCGTCATCACCCGACCGTCCGATTTGTTCCACTTGAGCTTTTGCTTGCCGTTTATGCAAAGGGGTTCAATAAAAAAAGGGAGAAATACAGTAGCTTTGACTAGCGACAAGCTCAATATGAATTTGGTCTCTGGAAATTGGAAACCCTAACCCAATTTTGGCTCCAATTCGGGTTGTTGTAGAGAAGAGGGTTATACTGGGGTTCCTCTAGTACTTATCCTTTTTTCTGATATTCTAATTTAGAAAGAAAAAAAAGTTTTCCTGGGAGATTGTTGGTTTGTGGGATATTTATTGGAAAAAATAAAAAATGTTTTTTTTTCTGGGTTTAAGAAATATGGAGAGCAAAGAGCTGAATTTGAATAAAGAGTGTAAAGCAGGAACAGCAGGAAATTGGTTTATAGATGGCAAAAGTGCAGATAATGTGGATAGGAAAGTTTATTTTTCAAGATTAATTTCTCATTTAGAGTGTTTTCTACATTGTTATATAGCTGCATAGGATATCTAGACGTCTTTAAGGGGAATTTTTTCATGCAAACTACCATTTGAAAATCAGTTAGAAATTTCGACGTCTTAGAATGAATTCCCTTAGAAATCCCGACGTCTTTAATATTTAATACAAAAAAAAATTGGCGTTTTATACAAATTAATTACTTGCTATATTCGTAAAATTTTATGAAATAATGTCTAACAAGTAATTAATTTATGTTAGGGTGATATTTGTGTAGAAACGTAAATTTTTTATTTCTTTATTAAAATATTTTGCAAAAAAACGTGACACATGCACTACATATGATTTTGAAAAATAATTACAAGTTATAAAATTTTTATTAAATTATTTATATTTTAAATTATTTACTCTCAAAGTTTTACTAGATTATACTATACGTTTAAGATTTTGAAAGAGTCAAAAACGCATCAGAAATTATCAAGTGGTAATTGGCAGATATAACTGTATTGTGTAATTTTATGCAAAAATTAAAATTTGTCGAGTTATAAAATAATTTGTAAAAGCATATTTAAAGATTTTAATGAAAAAAAATTAGAGATTTTACACAAATATCACTTAACATAAATTAATTACTTGTTAGCATTGTTTCAGAAAATTTTATAAATCTAGCAAGTAATTAATTTGTGATATTTGTGTAAAACGTAACTTTTTTTTTTTGCACTAAAGACGCCTGAATTTCCAACAAGGGATTTCACTCTTAAAGACAGAGATTTTCAACTGATTTTCAAATGGTAAGAATCCGAGATATCCTAAAGTCTTTGGTATTGCATTATAAAAAACACGCTAGATGAGGAATTAATCAACTGAGTACATCATTTTGAGAAATAAACTTTCTCATCCACATTATTTAGGCACTTTTGCGAGCAAAGTGAGGATTTTACTGTGTTATATGGAGAGGCGTTTTCTCTTTTGGTCTAAGTCGATGGACAACCTATGTTATCTGACCTATAATGGGTTTATCTTGTTTTAGTTCGTTATAACAGATGTTTTAAAAAACTCTCATGGGCTAAGTTTTTCGAATTGGGTTTTTCTCTTCGATCTAGAATGGTTGTCGGCTGTCACAGGTTACTTTTGTCTCCGAAGATAATAGATAATTGGGCGAACTGGTTTGGTTTTTCATTCCATTCAACCAATTTGTAGACTAATTCAAATTTTAAAATCATTTATATTATTTCGATTTGGATTAATTTTAAATTATGTTTGTTTTATAATTGAATTATTTAAATTCTAAATCACTGTATTTTAATTATTTTAATTTTAATATTAAACTTTCTAGAATTCAAAGAATGGTTATTATAATAAAAAAATGGGATGTTTCTTTCTAGATGAAAATTGTAAGATTTGTCTGAATTTAGTATACTAGAATAAAACAATAACCCTTATCTTTCTCCTATAAAATAATGGTCCGCAAAATAACAAATGCAAACAACAATTAATGAAAATATGGATTGTAGAAGTATTAATTGACGAAAGAAATCCCTTTAACCTGTGAATTAGTTTCCCTGTTTCCTTATTCTCCAATGCACTGGCAAACAAACCAAAACGCCATTAAGCAAAAATCCAAAGACTAGCGACACAAAAGGGAAGCAAGCAATTCATCTTCAAACACCAACAACTACAGTGACAATGCTGATTTCAGCTACATATGTATAATCTCTCAAAAAAGCACCACAGTAAAGTAGCGATTTTCTCACCTCAACTGGTGGGCATGTTGACCATATATCGTGAAGGTTCTTGAACATGCATTGACATAAGCTGTGCAGTGTCTTTCCACCAATAAATCTCTTTTTCCTTGTCACGAAGCTCTTGCTTTGCACTTGCCAAAGCAATTTCTAATTCTCTTATCTGCTCTTCTTGCCTCGTTTCCAGCAATTCGTGCAACCGTCTCTCCAGTTCATACGGAGGAACCGCGGGTTGCAAGTCCGGACAATCTTCTTCTGTAGGATCAACCACTTCTCCATAGCTCATACTCTCACTTCTACTTGAACTATTAACACTACTCTCCTGTACTTGCAAACACTACCATTTAAAATCATTCTAGGTTTGAGTTAATTTTAACTCGAAGACCGTTGATTTGCATTATTGGGATTTTTCATATCATGTGATTACAAGTGTGAAACATTTTATTTTTAGGTTCTGAACACTTTAAATTCGATTTATTTTAATAATTTATTTGTTTTTTTAGTTTAAATTAGTGTAGGTTTGAATCCTATCTATTTTAAGGATTTTTTAAATTATAAATTATAAACACTAATCTTAAATCTTAAAGTTGTCAAGTATCATTAAGTCAATATGTACCTGTAGTTTTTGAGTATTATAAAATTAAGATTCTAAAGTTATAAAAGATTTTACTATCAAATTGAAATAAGTTGAATATTAGATTTGAATAAATCAAAACAATTTTTTTTTTTAGTTTGGATCAGTAGGTTCAAATTAAATATGCGAAACAAAGAAATTTGAAAGTTTCAGACGTACCTCTATGGGATCCTGAGGTTGATTTGTGGATAATTTGCCTGAACGGAAATGGAGTTCTAAACGTTCTAACTCAACTTCAAGTTCTGTTTCAAGTCTATCCATTCCCTCGAGACAACTATCTTCTTTCGGCACATCATCGAATTTCAAAGGCTGATCAAATATTACTTTCTCCATGTTCAAACCTTCCTGGACGCCATTGTTTGATTCAATCTCTTTAGCAGAAATGAATAAGTCTTCATTTCGAAGCTCCTCTTTAACATTTTTAAGAACACTCTCCATTTGAATTCTCAATTCCGTTATCTTTTGAAGTTCATTTTTACTCTCAGCAACCAGTTGCAGCAAAAAGCATCCTATCACCACGTTGAAATTAGCTTCCGTCCTGCATCTTTCTGTGTTTTTTTTTGGTTAAAAAGCGGAACAAATTAGAAATTAGAACTCAAAAATCAAATTATAAACCTTTCTTACCTAAAGTCGGTATATCCCAAATCCCATGGTTTTCAAATTGGTTCGCATATCCGATAAGAGAAAATCGAGCATGCTAATGGTCTAATTCGATAAGATTAACTATCCTACGAATATTTTATTATTTAAAAATCTTCAAAAATAATATTATATATTGTATTTCGTTCCTCCAAATAAATCCAAACACTATCTCATGAAATTAAATTCCAAATAAATAGTGCTTTGTACCGATACACATTCCTCTTGACATTGTTGTAATCAATCAGAAACTAATACAAATTTCACCTGATGACAAATCAGGACGAGCGGCGGCTTGATTGGGATGGGCCACGTCATCACCTTCTCCTTTCGTCTTCACCTTACGACGCTCAATGGCAGAGAAGAAACGAGCAGCGATCCGGCGCGGCGCGGAGCAGTTCAATCCTAGGCAACGGTCCATGAGAAGCAGGCTTTCTTCTTGGGAGTAAAGGAGAGTAAACCGAGGAGGGTTAGGGTTAAAAAGACTATCAGTAACGGCACCGAGATTTTGGATATTTCTCGGCTGCAGAGTTCATGTATAATTGTAGCAGAATGAGAAATGAATAGATACACGCACACGGATTGCAAATACAGTAAAAATTTGTCGTTTTCAATTTGGAGGGAAAGTTTATTATTATTTAGATTAATAAAAAAAATCTAACTGTATTTTTTTTAATTTAGATGTTTAAAATTTTTTCGATCAATTTAGGTGTCTCATATTATCATTTTAAATGGTTCGTGATGGCCATTAAAAATTTATTAGGTGACATATATCATAGTAGATAATTTTGTATTTAAAAAAACTTAAAAATATTATTATATTTTAAAAACCCTAATCTTTCTAAAATTACAAAAAAAACTCAAATCTCTAAAATTTCTTAAAATAAACCATAAAATCTCTAACCATAAACTTACCTTTTCAATTACTGACTACGGACGTTGACGTCGACCTTGCCATATCTTTTGTTTGTCATCATCAGTCTTGTCTTTGATATGATTGTCGAAATCATCATATGTTGCGAATTTCAACTGTTTGATTCGTCAGGTTTACCGTTGATTTTATCGTTGGGTGTAATTTTTGAGTGATTGTTTATCGGGTAAATGATCTTCGGGTGGAAACGCGTTCGAGGGTAGGCTCCGTTGACGATAACAATTGCAAAATTGACCGCAAACGTGGATATAAGATTGAAATTAGAGTTTTTAAAGTTTTGAGTTTTTTTAATATTTATGAAATTTTGAGATTTTTTAATAAAATAATATTTTTAAGTTTTTTATTTTAATAAAATTTCAAAATTATATAAATGTTACATGTGTCACTTAACGGAATATTTTAACGATCGTTACAATTGAGATACTTAAAATTGTAACGTTTAAAATGTTAGACACCTGAATTAACAAAAAAATTAAACACCTAAATAAAAAAATGATATAATCTATATATATATTCTTTAGTACTAAGCCTTTTTTATTTTTATAAGGGTGTTTTCATAAAGGATAATGTTGCCACACTCGACGAGCATATATGAGCACAGTTAATGATAAACATTATTAAATTAATTTATAAAATGTTAAATTAGAAAGTACTAAACATATAATTATAAATTAGTTAAAAAACTAAATGTAATTTAATTAAAATATAGTATATATAAAATATTAGTTTTTAGGGTAAACTATATCATTGATCACCCAACTATATACCCCTTTGTCAATTGGATTACCTAACTATTTAAATCTTGTCAATCAAGCCACCTGACATTAAATATTAACAAAGGAGATAATGTGATAGTTAATAAAATTTGTATAATTACACATTTAGTCCTTATTGCTTACACTTTCTATTAATTTGATCCTAACTTTTATTTAATTCAATAAATTTGACCTTCAATCCGATGGTGACATATGTCACTATGTGATTGGATTTTTTTTAATTTTTTATTTAATAAATTTTTCCTCCAATCAAATGGTGCCACATGTCACCAATTGAATGAATGGAAAATAAATTAAATCAATAACTATAATTGGTGGGGTTTGAACCTAGGACACAAGCTGAAAAACTAAGTGCCCTAACCACTAAACTAGACCATTAAATTTATTTATGATACATAACATAATCTATATAATTTATGATATAGTTAATGGTAACAAATGAACTCATAAGTACTCAAACATAAAATAATTGAATAGTATGAAAATATAAAATATATATAAACAAATATTATAATTGATTAATAAATGAATATGTTTTATTTATATTTTAAATCACATTTAATGTAAAAATTTAAATAAAAGTGAATTTAATATGTTATAATTGAAATGTTTCATTTTACATATTTTAAATTAATAAATTGTCTTCATTATTCTAATTTTATTGAATTGAAATGTATCATATCTTATATTTTAAAATATTATAACATCGATCGGATTCTAATCTTATTTAACAACTCTATATTAAAATAAACTAATTCAATAAAATCGAGTTTCCCTAAAGTTTTCTTCAAATATATAATGAATAAATAATAAAATATAAAATTCTTATTCTAATCGAGATATAAACAAGTCAATGCATAAGTTAAAATGCTTACTACGATAAGTCCTCAACTATCAGGAAAATTCTAACTCAATGAAGCTCTTCGTTATATTTCAATTATAATATATTAAATTTTTTATTTTTTTCATTAAAATGATTTAAAATATGTTGAGTTAATCGATTTACGGAATCGGCCAAGAGGGGGGTGAATTGGCAATTAAAAATTTCGTGGAAGCTTTTGCAGAAAATTTAAAGTAATTGCACAGCGATTTACAGTGGTTCGACTTTCTCAAACAAAGTCTATGTCCACTACCTTAGCTATCCACACTAAGGATTTTCCAACAAATTCACTAATTTGTTCTTTCTTTTGAGGCCAAAGAGATAACCTTACAAAATCCCTCAAGAGTATACCCCAACTCTTGAGAACACTCTTTTTCCCAAATAGAAGATTACAAATTTGCAAACTTACAAGAAAACCTCATAAGGTAAGATGTTTGCACAATTCTAGAACAAAGAAAAGAACACTCAAGGATAAATACAATTGAGTACAAAAGCGTTCTTGAAAGCAAATGAATATTGGATGAAAAATAGGCTTGAAATACTCAAACTTGAGGTTTGATGCTTTCTCTTTGATTCTCTCTTGATTCTAGTTGATTGATGTTTCTTGTTCTTGATCAAAGGCTCCAGAACTTGTTTAAATACCCCTTGAATCAATTCTGAACGTTGGTGATAATTAGTGGGGATAATAGAGCCGTTTAAGTGTGAAAACAATTAATTTTTCTAGGTGGAGCGTCTCATGCATCGATGCATGATCAAGTATGCATCGGTGCATACGTGTAAAATTCAAATATTTTGACCGTTGGAACACTTGATGCATCAGTGCACCAAGTATGCATCGATGCATGAAATGCATTCGATGTTTGAAAAATAGCCTGATGCATCGATGCATGTCTTGTGCATCGATGCATCAAATGCATTCGATGTTTTGAAAATATTCAGAGTGCATCGATGCATGGAGAGTGCATCGGTGCATGGAATGCATTCGATGTTCAATTAATTCATCGATGCATCGGTGCATGCCTTTGAATAATTGATTTAAGGCTTGTTTTTTGTTCAAAATACTTTGTGAAAATTGTTTCAAAAATAGTTTAAGTACAAATCACAATTTTACACATTTAGTAAGGATTAAAATTGATCTTGAAAAACTTGGAGTAATAATTTGATATTCGGTTAATTGAATCGAATTTGTAAAATCATTTGTGAAATCTTAAAATTCATTTAACTTAATTTGTTATATCGAAATATCAAAAATGTTTTCAACAATCTCCCCCCTTTTTGATATAACAAAACATTTGAATAATTTTAAGATTTGTTTAAGAAATTATTTTTGAAATTGATTTTGAAAAACTTACTCCCCCTTACTATAGCACATCTTAAATTTTCTCCCCCTTTTTGTTAAATCAAAAAGACTCTATATAAACGTTTTAAACAAGAATTTAAAAAAAAATTAGCCAATTGATTTATTAACAATAAGCTGCTAAGATCACAATCAAAAGAGAGATTAGTCATTAGTTTTCATAAACAATATTCATAATAAAATGTGAAATTGCATAATTGGTCATATATCTAATGATGCAAAATGAATAAAATTCAAACCAAATATATTAAAAATTAAGTTCAAATATTCAAGCATCCAAACATCCAAACAAACATAAACATTCAAATCAAAAAGTTTAACAATCCAAGTTCTTAAAGTTTAAAACCAAATATCATCAAATAACGTTTAATCATCCATAGCGGAATCGGGAGGAGGAGGAGGATAATGAGCTCTAACTTCAAGAGTAAGAGCATCCATACGATCACGCATCTCCCTCTGAAACTCAGTAATCGTAGACTCCATGGAAGCAAAACGCAGATCAAACGACTCTAGAAAAGATTGGAAATAAGGTGGCGTTTGATCATCTTACCGAGCTGGTACTTCCTCGTCAATATCTCTCATAAGCCTTTGAAGCTCTGTATCATTATCTGCGTCAGGAGCTGGAGGAGGAGGAGGAGCACAAGAAGAACTAGGAGCAGCTCGTGAAGAACTAGCTCCCGGGGTTTGCTTACCGGGTCGAAAAGACCATAGTCCGGTGGTCTCATCCAATTTCCAATCCGATTTCTTTAAGGATGTGATATTGATTGGGTTTTGGAGCGGAATAGGATTGTCAAGGGAGACATCTAGGTCGAGTTTGATAAACAAATTGCTTAGTAGACAACCATAAGGTAGGGTTTCTACATGCTTTGAGGGAATGATGTTTATGATATCGACAAGCACGCTAAAGACAATATGTGGAAAATTGATTTTCTTTTTGTTCTTTATACAGTGCATCCACCATAAGTCTGTAGTACGTAGTGTGGAGTACCGACCTGCGGATGGTCTAAACCACCAAGAGATCATTAAGTGAAGAAATCGATCGTGGTGAGACCTAAAGGTACTGACACTAACATTAGGAAGATATGGATATTCCACATCTTCCTTCTCATTAAATAAACCCTCGTCATCTAAACCAAAATAAGATGCGATGGATTCAGAAGTAATAGTGATATATTGTCCTAAAAGATATGATCTAATCGCTATAGTACCGCACTGAGTTGTGTTCTGAATACAAACCGCATTGGAATAAAAGATGCGGACAAGTTGGTGAAAGACGATGGGTTGAAGAGAAAATAGTTTATCAAACTTCCATCGGCGAAGAATTGGGAGGTATTCAAATTCAAGTTTTATCATAGCTTGTAGAGAAGGAATACGCTCTTCCCTAATACGATAGGATTGGAAGGAGTTCATGTACCTAGAGTACAATTCATCCCTACAGTTTTCAGGCATGTTAAAACAAGTACTAATGAGGGATGAAGGAATATTGGATGGATTTTGAGGTCTAGGAGCGGGAGGACGGTTTTGGTGAGACCGACTCGAGGATGATCTAGGGCGTTTGGGATTAGACATGGTTAGGGAAATCGGGAAAAAAATATCACCTGCAATTTAAAAACACATGTATGCACAAAATTCAATCCCAAAACTCAAATGAGTCCTCAATAATTCAAGGTTCTCTAACATAATCCTAATGGGCAAAGGTTTGAAAACTATTTAAAATTAATATCATAATGCGCATAGTTTTCATGAAAACAACACAATTGAATCAATAATTTTTTGATTTTTTTTTTAATTCGAAATTTTCAAAAAAATTTGAAAAATTATGCGTTTTTGATGAAATTCGTTGTAGAAACTAGTTTAGAATCATCATATAGCCAATGCCCGATAATTATTTCAAACTAGAACTAATCTAAACTAGTCCTAAGTTCAAAAATTTAATGAAATAGAGTTTTTGTGAAAATACCTTGAAAAATTCGGATTGAGGGGAATGAGGAGATGTTTTGCGAGATTTAATGAG